GGGGAAAATGAGATAAATGTTCTGTTTTTGTTATGAATCTTTTCTGCATGGTCTGGATACAACCTTTCATTTCTCTTTGTCTTAATATAATTTCTTTGATGCAATCCAAGTTTCTACTAAAGCCACGATTAATTTCTCAGTGAAATTCAGATTAATCATATACAATTTATTTCTGCTACATTTCTGTGGCTTTTTAAATAAGTGTATACTTACAGCATACTTCTTTCCTTCTCTTTATGAATTATATTGATTACTACTATTGTTAGTGTTTTGTAATAATCACATTCATCCTGTACATATGTATCAAGTATGTGCTATTTACCAGGCTCCATTTTAAGTGCAATGATGCAGCAATTTTCAAAATAAATTTCCTGATCTCCTGAGGCTTTCACTTTTATGGCAGAGGTAAGATAAATAAGGAAGCATATGTATTTGGCATGATAAATGTTGATAAGTGTCATAGGAAAAATTAAATAGCAAATGCTTATAGGGCTAGCTAGTAAAATGAGGCAAATTAGGAAGTACAGAGTGTGGGGAAGAAATCCCAATTAAATGGCTCATTGATAAGAAGTCATATGTGAGCAGACTCTAAGTAAGTTGAGAGTGAGATTTATAGATATTTGGGAGAAGATACTTCCAGGAAAAAGGAAGAAAAAGTTAAAAAACTTTAGAGATTGAATCGTGCTGGTTGCATTTCAAGAGGAGGAAGAGAGCCTGTATGATTGGAACAAAGAGGGTGGGAAGAGGTGGTTGTCTATAAGTCATGGGGTAGTAAGAATTTGTAGGTGACATTAAAGACTTAAGACTTTGCCTTTGGGGGATATGGGAAATCCCTGAAAGTTTAGAGCAGAGGAAGGGCATGATCTCACATGTCTTTTAAAGGGTCCTTCATGCTGTAAGGGAATAAGGGGAGGAGAAGACCAGGACGGCAGTTATGAGGATAGTTCAGGAGAAGAAAGACTAGAGTAGTGGAGTGAGCAGTGGGCAGATTCTGAATATAATTTTACAGTGGAGCCAGCTAGATCTGTGAACAGATTGGGTGTGAAGTATAAAAGAAAGATTATAATAAAGGCGAACTCCAAAATTTTTACCCCTAACAAGTAGAAGAATGGAATCTTCCTCATCTGAGATGAAAACTGTGGGAGGAGCAGGTTTGTGAGGACTAGAAGAGATTCAGTTTTGAACAAGCTTGTTCTGAGATCCCTCTTACATGGACAAACCTGTGAGTGGGACAATGAGTGGGCAATTAAATACATGATCTTGAGTTCAGGAACAGGGCATGGACCAAAGATGTAAATTTTATGGCCTCTCGTATGAAGTTGTTATTAAAACCATGTGGCCATATGAAATTACAAAGGGATGTTTCTACAGAGAAGAGAGGTGATCTGGAGAGTGAGCACTGTCCTCAAGTTGATTCTAGATGGCACAGAGTAAAGTTTTTAATGGTGATTTTTTATATAATTATATTAATGATATGAGTAAAATATTAGTGTTCTATACATGTTCATGACGTGGAGTTCATATTAAAATAACTTATTTAAGTAAAAACTTGAGCATATTTAAACTAATAATTAATTAGCGCCACACAGATATTTTAATATTTTTAACACAGTTTGGGAAGACATTTGGGAAATACAGGTGTATTAGAAAGAGTCCTATCCTGGGGTCAATAGGATAGGACTTAGGCTCTCTTGCCTAAGAGCTTTTAGGCAAGTCTTTTAATATATGTCTTTTTCTTTATTCTTAAAATATGGTAATAATAGCACTTTCAATTGTATTTTCCATTTATTCTTCTAAGACAATTGAACCTAATTTCAAATAATTTTCATCAGGAAAATGTTGTTTTTCCTTAAATGTCCTTAGCTTTGCACGTGGGAGAGGGTAAGAGTTATTTTAATTTATGTTTTCGTTTTTTTCAGAGGAAAGCAGGCTCCAAAGGACATTCCACAACTATGGAGTATACTTTGGCAAGTGGT